ACTGGATTGATGCAGATGAAGCAGGACGTCTTGTTGATGTGTAGCACATGTCCTCTGAAGTCAGTCCTCCTCTGGAAAAACTGCAGATTTCCAAAAAATACTGTAGTGTACTGTAATTTAAAACATTAGGATACTGTTTAGGGCCTCTGTGCAGTTGCTTCAAATGGGCCAGCCCACAATGCATTGCAGACTACAGTACAAAACCGTATTACATTAATACAGTGGATTACTGTTAGAAATTGGCTGTAAATTAACAGCAATTGGTTAGTGTATCCACTGTGCACACGGAGCAGAAACAGTCATTTTTGGGCGGTGTGAACTGTTCATGTTAATCTGTGTAAACTCAACTTCTATCTACCAGTCAGAATGTCCTCTTTTCAACCCAATAAAGTTTTAGGAGCTTTAATGCAATGTGTGTATTCCCTCCATTTCTTCTGCACGTGTCCTGAATACAGTACAGGACGGGACTCGCACCCAACGGCCTCTCTGCATCTACATGTATTTAATGGTCATCAATAAGGCAGCAAATTCAAAGGGGCCTCAAACAAGCCGCTAGGTCGGTGTTCCCTTTTTTGTTGTTGTTGATGCCAGCCAATAACTTATGCATGTAAAGTCACCAGCACGTCGTTCGCACGTGTTCTCAGTTGCTTCCCCAGTAGTTGCTGAGAAGAATCGATTTTGAAAAAAGAACCATGCCAAGTGGAAGTGGATGTTCCGCTGACACAGCGCGTTATTATCGCTCAACGCGGTGTTTGCTTAAGTGCAGCACCGCACAGACACGGGACGATGTCTCTGAAGTGAGCGACAGCCACTTAAAAAAACAAAACACAGTACAGTGTTGACTGTTCTCCTACGGGTCAACAAGGAAGTTGTATCCCAGCGATTTTTATTTTTTATATTTGTAAAGTTGCTGCAACAGTCTCACAGGCCATCTTTGATGTGTTTTTTCCTCCCCCTCCCTCTCTGCCTGGCTGTGGTGCTGGGTGGGTGGAGGTAATGCGATGCAGAGGAGCGACTGGAGCGAGACGGAGCTCCAGGAGTAAAAAAAAAAAAACCCAGGTTCACACCAGGGTGGCTTACACCACCGCTCTACTCACACACACACACACACACGAGCAAGAGCACCTGCGTGTTAACGCGCACACACATGCATATTCACTGGGGTTTGCGCGCGCACGCACAGCACAAGCTCTCAGAGCGGCTTACGAGTGGTGCACCTCAATACCAGGCGCGGCATAGCCCATCTGTGAAAAGGTAAATTGAATTTTTACAGGCACAAAGCCGACTCCCCTGTGGTCTTTAGAAGAAGAAGAAGAAGAAGAAAAAAAGCCCCACTTTGTGAGTCTAAAGCTTTTCTAAAGCTTTAGACTCTTCATTGCTTTTTTTCCCTCCCCCTTTTCCTTTTCTTCTCTCTCTCTCTCTCTCTCTCTCTCTCTCTCTCTCTCTCTCTCAGTTGGGGGAAATGGAGGTGTGAGAAACGCTGATCGATACGCTCATTAAAGATTGTGTCTTTGGGAGGCCTGCAAAGGGTCTGCACACAAAGAGCACCAAAAAAAGGAAAACGGCACTCTGGAGGAAAAAGCCCCGCTTTCTTCACCTCAACAACGTCCATAACGGAACAGCAACAAAACAATCCCTTTCTTCTTCTCCCTCTTTCTCCTCCTCTCTCCACGCGGCTCTCCGATGCGGTCGAAGCGCTTTCATTCTGCTTGCGCAGAGGATTTTATTTTCCTCCAATCTGTCCGTGGGTTATCTATTATTAGAAGCTCTCGCACACATAGAGCCCGTGTGTGTTTTCGGTGTCGAGTTAACGAAAAACAGCTATGCAGCGAGTCACTCTGCCCACGCAATTAACCCCCCACACACAACGAGCTACTGAGAAAAAAACAGTTTGATATGTTAAATTCTAATTAAGTACAGCACCACCGCCTCCACTGCTCTTCAGTGCGTGTGTGTGTGTGTGTGTGTGCGCGCGCGCGTAAGGCAGGTGGGATAGACACTGACAGGTGGAATCAAATTGCCGGTGCGAGGTATCCGTCTGTGCAGGATCCACCATATGCATTTCAAAAACTCTGCGAGCTTTCCAATGCCAAACTGCGCACAGAGAGATTGACACTGTTCCATCTGCCAGTGCGGAGTCTGCATTTGAGCGTGCGTGGGCATGAACAGGGGTGGAGAGATGTGTTACGATGTCTCGCTCAATTTTTGAAAAGCTCTGTTTTGGTTGGAGAAAAGGACGGAAATAGAACTGGACTCAAAAGTGGTGTAAAGAGAAAAAATGAAGAAGTTTAGGAAAAGTAGTAAAGGGCTTGTTCAAAATGGACTCAGGGAGGAAGTTGGTCAGAAGAAACAGAGCGTACTCTGGTCCGCATCGTTGGTCAAAGAGGAACACAACTGCTTTCCATCACTTTTCGTGTGCACAGCTGAGAGTTTACCCCCTTTTTGGTGCGGTTTCGTCGGGGCAAGTGTGAACACACTGATCGCGCCTGGGTGCGGACCAAAACAACCGGACCAGGATCTTGGTGGTCAAACAAACTATTGTAGGCTACGGTTCGTTTGTGGTGACTGTTCAATCTCGATCCGACCTAATTGGAGACGAAGCGTTGAGCCTCTATTGGATCAAGCCAGCTGCATTGCGTGTGCACTACTAAAGGGCATCAAAGCCAAAAGGTCTGACAGCCGCATATAAATCCACCCGGATCTTCTGCATCCGTCAGGCCCACAGAGCAAGCGCACAAGCGTTTGCTTTAATCCCGCCTCCCAGCTGCTCACCCAAAAAAATATATATGTATGTGTGAATGAAATAAAATAAAGTTATTGATAAATACATTGTTTTAATTGCAACTACAACTGAAAATGTGTTATTTAACATAGTAACTGATTTAATTAATTTAGAAAAACAATATTTTGAAAATAAACTATGAATGAATTTTTGAATATATGATTAAAAACACTAAACTAAAAACTTACTAAAAAAGTATATATACTGAAAATATTTTAGTTTAATGTATTTATGTGTATATATTTATAATCCTTCTGAGCAGGGATTATGTATATACACACACTATAAATATATATATATATACACTATAAATATATATATATATACACTATAAATATATATACAGGTATATACACTATAAATATATATATACAGTTGTGTGAAAAAGTGTTTGCCCCTTCCTGATTTCTTATTTCTTTGCATGTTTGTCACACTTAAATGTTTCAGATCATCAAACAAATTTAAATATTAGACAAAGATAACACAAGTAAACACAAAATGCAGTTTTAAATGAAGGTTTTTATTATTAAGGGGGAAAAATAATCCAAACCTACATGGCCCTGTGTGAAAAAGTGACTCACACCTATGATAGGGGATGATATCATTTGCTTTGCAGGTTATCACAGATTTATTGCCATAGCACTAACTTACTACGCAATTTCCTGCGATAGCAGAAAAAAAGCTTGAAGGTGAATAGGTTTTTAACTGTATGAGACTGATTGTTAAAGTCTGGTCCAATTAACTCACATTACATTGGGGCGGGTAGTTTCTAGTTATTTGTTTGCAATACTTAAATATAATATTAAATTACATTTTGAATGAACAATTTTCATACTTTCATGTAAGTCCCACTAGGCTACATCACAAATCTGCAATGATTGAATTTATAAGTGCTGCATTTCTATTTGGGGTTTGTCATTTGTATTTAAACATACATGAAAATAATGTTGTTCATCTTGGGACTTATCAAATGCAGCAATATGGATAAAACTGTGACCAGTAAACCTGTAAACAGTAACACAGAGATTTCACATTTCATTTTTTGTTGGGACAGTTAACATTATGCATTTGGAGTTCCTCAAAGTGCTCTTTCCACCGCCCAACGACTAGGTATTGCCTAGTTAGCAAACATTTAAAAACGTTGGTCATTTGTTGAATGAATTCCAGGGTAGCAGGCTGGTGAAGCGGTTACATCGACACAGATCATTTTTGGCATTAGAGGACAGTCCAACACGGACACACTTGGTTCAAAAAGTCATGAAGTTCAAAGAGTGAAGTGCATTTAGTGTGTTTTTTGGACTCTCTGCTCTCATGTAAATTCATAACATTCTGTGCTCTTGTGGTGAGCCTGCAGATATTAGACGCTATTTAAAATTCAGCAAACAGCAGCGATTCACTTAAAAAATGTGGCTCACCCGGGGTAACAATTGCAAATCACCGCCTCCACCCGTGGGCGTAGACGTTTTTTGCGTCGTGTTTTCTCAAACCCTGCGAGTGTTTACGCATCAGGAAGGAGGAGGGCTCCCACTTCCTGCCTCCGGGGTTCCCGTAGTTGGACCGGGCCAGGCTTTGGTTGCCTGGGTTACCGTATCCCTTGGCGGACGGTCGGCTTGCTGTTGCTATGCTAATGAGAGGATGCACACGGCAGCGTGTACGCGTGTAAGCGTGCATGTGCCTTTATTGAAAACACTGCGGGGTCAGGGAGAGGCCAGAGCTTTTTTGCGTGAAATGTCACGCCAATTAAGAATTAGCGGAAATGAAGCAGACGGATATCAAACTTTTGTTCATTAGGCAAGATGGGATTCCTCTCTCCGTCTCAATGCCGCACCGCTCTCCCCACTCACTCTTCCTTTTCCTCGTTGCTATTTCATTACTTACACCCCCTTTTTTTCTTGCTCTTTTTGCCGCAGTTTATCAGTTTAATCAGCTTGCATTGGGAGAGGACCAGGAGTGGGAGGGGGGTGCGGCGTGGGGCCGGGGAAAGGAGGCAGGAAGCCCTTCGTTACTAGGGGGTTGGGGGACACAACCGATCTGCATCATTCTCACATCCTGGTAGTAATGCATCTTCATTAGGCCTCCCGACGTCAGCCCAGGAGACAAGTCTTGCTATCACTGTCAATTAGCAGGGGGAGCCGCTTGGAGGGGGGGGGGGGGTGAAGGGGGACACGGCTCGTTTCTCTTTATTAATTTCTCCAAATAACCACGCGGCACTCGGATATATAGAAAGAGGCGCTCTCTTTATTAAAACACACACTCAGTGGCAAACCGTACAAGGGGAACGTCATCATGTGCAAAGCTGCAGGTTTCATTTACTGAGTGAGAATAACATAAAAATAAAATAAACAAAGGTTTTATTCAACACGGGCGACAGATATTACATTATCATTTCATCATGGCTTTCTGGCAATATGGCTTTTTTTTATTTTTTCTCAATCAGCGGATACAGACATTATTTATTCATAGATGCATTTTTAAAAAGGCACACAAGATACAGCATCGCCGATCTCCACCGAGTCGGCACAATCAAATATACATGAATACAATATTAGTGTGAGATAGGAGGGGGGTGGGGGGTGATGTTGTGGATGGATTCAACTTTATTCATATGAGGAAACAGGGGGGAATAAGGAGTGGGGGACATTTACTCCACCGCGTTTTTTATTTCTCCACAGAGATTTCTATTCAATATGTCTGAAGCCTCTTGTGTGCGTCGCTTTCCGTTGCCTGAGAGAATCTCTGGTGCTGGTGTTGAGCGTGTGTGTATGTGCATAGTGTGTGTGTGTGGTCCTGGCAGTATATCCTTGCTTTAAGGCAAGTGTCTATTTAATGAGGCTTTGCTGCAAAATAAGCTCCCTAGGACTCTTGACGTGCTCTGCATTTCAAACATTCTCCTGCAGCACGCGGACCACTAGCACATCCTCCACACAAATACACACACACACACACACACACACACACACACACAGTACCTTGCAGGGTTTATGTGTGTGAGCGTGTGTGTGTGCCCTGCCGTGCCATAGCATTGATCGGTTGGTTTTTCTGGAACGGAGCAAGAGCTTGTCAACTGCCCCCCCCCCCCCCCACACACACTTTCTGCCTCTCGCCCTTTCTCCTTCCTTCTCCGTCTCCCACTGCTCTGACCTCATGTTTATGTATCTCACCGCTCGTCGATGCTATTCCGCCAAATGGTCCTCCTCCGTTCTCCTCTCTCTCTGTGTTTTCTGCTTCGCCTTGTTCCCCCTGGGCCACAAAAGGCCCAGAGATATGAATAATACAAAACATCCGAACACGCCGACGGACGGGCCCGCTGCTCGTGTGTGTCGTCGGGCGGCAGCGTGCGCGGGAGGCTAACAGGTTGGGGTGGAAGAATTTACGCACCACGCCACAAGCGACAAACACAAATCCCGTCGAACAAGGTCAAAGTGCGGACTCATCTAACATGCGGATTTTGGAAAGCGCCAGACTCGTTTTCTGCTATGTGCTCAGTGGCTTTGTATGGGGGGGTGCTCGCTTTTTCTGTTGGTTCACATAGATATTAGCGGCTCAGTAAACGTTATGAATGGGGCTCAAACGCCTGGCTGCCCTTTTTTCGCTTCCGAAGAGCTCTGATGAACCGACGGTTCTGAGAATCAACTCAAGCTGGCAATCAGGACAAGTGTTGTCTTCCTGCGCGTGTTCATGCCACGCTTCTTTGTCTCAAGGAGAACAAAGTGTTGGGCTCATTAGCGGCCCCGCTGTATTGCTCCTAATGAATGCTATCAGCCTCTAATGAAAAGTATTGTTCTTGAGCACAACTAAATCAAAAGGTGTTTAAAGCGTGCGCCAGTGGCCCGCACACACACACACACACACTCCATCAGCGAGCGTTTTGGCGAAGAGGTCTCTGACGGTGACTCAAACACCATGGTCACACCCCCGGCCCCCTAGAGAAATCAATCTCTCATTTAGACCACAGCCACTGCTCGATACCCGCTCCACTATCGACCAGTGGAAGTGGGAGTGTGCATGTGGGGAGAGAGGGTGAGAGAGAACAGGAGGTGGAGCAGGATGAAGAGAAAAGGCTGAGGAAAAAAAAAGGAGAGGAATTGATTTATTTGGTGATGATGTTTTTGGCATCAGATACGACCTGTTTACAGCCCCCACGCCAATTAGAAAAGTTTTTATCTGATCAAAACACAGCTCAATATACTTTTTTTCCCCTCCCCTCCTTTTGAGACGGTATGAAATAGCTGAAGGTGGCGATAGCCTAAAGCAGCTGCAGAAGTTGTTGAAGAGTTGAGTGGATGTTGAGGAGATGAGAAAAATATGATGTCCATCTCGATTTGTGCATCTCCTCTAACCTTCAGCCCACTAAGACCGAAGCCTCCGGGAGAGTTTCAGCGTTCAAACACATAAATTGGACATAGAGTGGGAATTCTGCTGGCAGAGTTGCTGCTGACTCTGCTGCTGGTTTAAAAAAATAAAAAAGAAGAAGAAAAGTGTTCTCATTACTCGTATTAAATTCTGACACTTGAGACTATGAAGAAAAATCGCTTGGGAACCCAAACCGTGCCAGTGAACCAGATTACATTCCACAAAGTGTCCCGTAAATGTTCCTGGGGAGTATTTACAGACAGCAATAAGTAGTGCAAATAAAGTCAGTGTTTTTTAATTATACTTGATTTTAAGGGGCACTTAAAACAGTTTGTAGATGCTGTGGCTCTCTTTCTAAAGTCTGGAAAAAACAACCTTGATGATGTCATAATTTCGGGTGGCTCGGAGGGTAAGTCGTATTATTGGACTTCTAGGATGCAATGGTTTTTTTTAAGCTATCAGCAAAGGAGAAAACATTGGGGTTTTTACTGTTTGCCTTAATGAAACTCTGCTGTCAAAATGTTTGATGGCAGCAAACATGTTCGACGGAATTGAATTAAAAAGGTAAAACCCCAAACAGCACCACGTGAGAACTTTGCCCCCAGAGGGTGATGCCTGATCCTCTTCATCACCTCCACCCTCTCCGGAGCAAGAGCGGGGGGCGTTCACTGACACCGCCCCTAACAGAATTTCTCATCGCAGCGGTCCTAAATTTCAATCAGTTACGTCTCGCTGGCGTCCGGGGGGCTGTCAACATGTTCAATTTGCCAGGTGCAGCTTAAACAGCGATTTATAAATAAATTTCACTCAACTTAATTTCATCACTCCTCAGGCATCGACCTCAACTCTCGAGGGTGTCAGAATTGCTTTTCCATCACAAAATAGAGTATTTGTGGTTGGCAGAAGGACATGAACGGAGATAGGGTTGGCCTGGGTTGGCGGGGGGAGGGTTGAGGGCTAGTAATGAACATGGCGCAGATCCGAGGTTGGCACAGCAGGCTGTAATCTAATCAGCGCTGCACCTTATTTTCATCTAGACGTTGGGGGAGAATTAGATATTTAACGGTGGCGGCTTTATCTTCCAATCACGCGGCTTAGGTCTGCGCCGCGGACACCTTGTTAAGTGGCTAGATGGGTCCAATCAACCGGCGTAGGTGGGTTGACAGTGTGAGTTCGGACATGTGTGTGTGTGAGATTGGATGCGTATCGGCGCTTTTTGTGTCTGCGTGTGACTCGTATTGGCCGTTTGATGTCTGTGGACTGGCACAAATTGGCAATCAGGTGAGGTTGGCATGGACGAGGGCCTCTCCTCGCCGGGATCCTGACTCCAATTGGCCCCCCTTCTCCGCTCCCCCATCCCTCTCGTCTTCCCGCACCAGTCGTTTTAACTTGACCCTGACAGGTGCTTCTGACAAAACCCTTTACAGTCTCAATTACACTATATATCTCTCTCTCTCTCCTCTTCCTCCGCTCGTTTTTATTTCCTCTCTCTGCATCCCTTTTCCCCATTCCCTCCTCTGATGCTCCAGGGCTGGTAGGGAGCTCTCAGCGCTTCCCTCCTGACTCTATCGGCAGTCTGTCGGCATGCCTGCATCTCAGTCCTCTTAATTAGCCTTGGTGGGACCTTCTCTTTCCTCTTCATTAGGAAAACCAGAACAGATGTGGGTGAGGCAAGGATAATGTCAATGGAGGGACAACCGTCTGATGCACGGCAGGGAAAAAGAGTTGTGTAGTGCTGCAGCAACAGTAATGTAAGGATTGAGGGTTCCATTCCCTGAAGAAAGGTACTAGCATTGTCATGAACCTATTTGCCCTTCACCCCAAATTCAAAATGTAGGCAGTGACACTTGGTGGCAGTTGCAGCAGTAGGATTTGGGTGTCTGAGTGAGACTGAACTACTCAAAAGCCATTCGGTGTTGAAGTGTTGAAGTATCACATTCGAAAAGCTGTATGTAAACGGCAGATTTCCATATAACTTTGCAACGTTTTGGCGCTTATTTGAGGTGTTTTTTTGTCTCAACGAGTCAACGGGATATGAAAAAATGCCTTTGCCGATTAAATTCGGACAAAGCAAACATTTAACTCACATGACTAATCCGCTGTTTCTTTCGTTCACGGATGTATATTTATATTGTCTTCTCTGGACATGAAACAGGGCCAATACTAGCATACATGAAAGAACAACTAAAACTGGCCCAATTGAAACAAATTCCTTCAGAACTCTCCATTTTACTATCGTAGATGGTTAGATGATGCTGGTAAATGGTTTTGTTTCTTCTTCTACTTTGTTCACTGACAGATCACGGCCATGCTTGGTCTATGGTCCCAACTTCTGATCAAAGTATGCTCTGTCTAGCATTAGCCCCCCTCATCGCACTCATTACCCAAACCAGTTGACAAACGTGCCTAATTCCCATTTCTTTTTTTTTGCGACATTTCATACGTTTTCTTAAAATTCGCTTGACAAGTGATTGGAAACACGGCTTGTGATGAGGAGGTTATATTTCCTTGAGCGGGGCGCTTTCATCGACAGGGTTATGTGGCTCAATCTCTTATGTAATACAGAAGTTAAACCAACACACTACCCACTTGATTCAAGGCATAGTTTGACATTTTGGGAAATACGCTTATTGGCTGTCTTGCCAAGAGTTCCATCTTTATGCTAAGCTAGTTGTTTCCCATTTCCCCCAACGCGTAACATACTACAGGTATCGTTCCTCTCAACTAATGAGGACAGGAAGGTAAATAAGCGTTTTTCTGAAAACCTATTCCTTTAAACGGGGAACGGACCCTCTGTGTTGAAGGAGACGAGCGCGAGCAGCGAGTGATGAATCTCCACCGCCGTCTGCGACACTCCACTTCGTCGGCTTTCCCCCTCGTTTTCTGACCCAAATCTAATGCGACAGGACTCATTTTCGCCGTCCGACCCGCACACACTCTCACTCACACACACACACACCTCCTCCCACCTTCCCTCCCCGCTGTCGCAGGAGTCATGCACCACTCTTTCTATTTTTAGCTGTTTGTCCTTGAGTTACAATCCCTGAAAATTGCCATGATCCATAAAGGACTGGATTGTGGTGCTTGAGGGGGAAAACACACACTTTACACCAACAATATCCTGCCTACAGCCCCCCTCTTCCCCTTTGCCACCTCGGAGTGTGTGTGTGTGTGTGTGTGTGTGTATGTGTGTGTGTGTGTGTGAGCAACAAATCGTTACCAATTTCAATTCTTTCGCCATTACTGGAGCGAATATTTCTCTCATTAAAGAAGTGAAATGGAGGGAGCGTTAAACGAGTGTAACGCCGACAGATCAGGCTGTTCTTTTCTCTGCCCCCCCTCCCACCCCCGCCGCATCACCACACACACTCACCCCCGCCTCAGAAAGTTATCCACTGTAGCCAATTAGCATGACTGCTCTGTCTAGCATTAGCCCCCCTCGTCCGTATCCAGCCCTCGCTCTCATTACCGTCTTTTCTCTCTCTCTCTTCCTCCCCTATCCTCCTCCAGCCCCTCTTCTCATTCTCTCTCTTTCTCATTAGGGCCGCGTCGTAACACAGTGAATCATAATAGGTGCTCCGCACTGTGAAATGGCGTAAGCTTTGTCTCGTCTCGCCGCGTGCAGCGAGAGAATGAGTAAACAGACGATCCAATCCGGTGCAGAAGCACAGACGGACGCAATCGGGACCGTCCATTAATCTGTCGTAAAGCATTTTTTTTGGGCTGCTTGAAGAAATCCCCGATATTCAGGGAGGGAGTGTGTGTGTGTGTGGGGGGGCTAATCTGCGGGTGATGCCATGCAAGGGCGCGTACGATATACTGACGGCAAACAGATCAAGTCCCGCGAAGGAGAGAGTTTTTCGGGATGGGATGTAAATGACGGAAGAGAGGAAGAGATAGCAGGAGGCAAAGGACGAATGTGATGGAAGGTAGACGGAGAGGAGAGAGAGAGAGGATGGATGAGCGGAGGCAGGCGGGGGGTTGTAGCGGAGTGAAACGCTGGGTGTCGGCGGCACCGAGGCGTATTCTAAACCCTGAATGTAAATACGCGTGAGGGGATTATCACAGAGTGCCAGGCGGCGCTTTTGGGGCTTTGTTTCCCTGTGACACCGTGACGTCGGCTTTGTTTCCCTGACAGCAGACGTGTGTGTATGTGCGTGCGCGTATCGTCATTGCGTGTGTTGCGCGTGACATCCAGGCATCTGTTTCCTGCCGGAAAAGGTTAATTACATCTCTGCCGCACGACCGGACGTGCCGCGCATAATCACATGCGCCTAATGAGACCTGTGTGTGTGTGTGTGTGTGTGTGTGTGTGTGTGTGTGTGTTTGTTTGTGTCTCGATGTGCGATCGTGAAAAGGCCGTTCTACGGCAGCTGAATAGATCTCTTGGCCACTTGTTTCAGGTTTTGAAAGTCTATTGTTGCAGCCGGGGAGATACACAAGCACGCACACGCGCGCTTCCAGAGTCACGCGCTCGCACACGGGCGACAGATGGAATCGCACCGTGGTGGCATTTAAGGACAGACACTCCACTCCCACCGAGGGGGACATTAACGGATAGGCCCGCATCGGTGTGTGTGTGTGTGTGTGTGTGTGTTTTGCAATTACTTGTCTGCCTATTGATGAGACGGAGACGCTACAGCATCAGAGGAGGGACTTCGCGCAAAGCCCTGTTGCTGATCCTGACCCCTTGACTCCGATCTTCACACTCCAGCTAAGCCGCTGATTGGACAGCTGCTCCACTTTCGATCGGGCCCAGCTCAGGCGTGAAAGCCGAAATGGGGCTCCCAGCCCTCCACGGGTGACTTTGGAAATTACTATGCACTTTTTTTCACTTGGCTGAAGTTTCTGCTAAGTTGGTTTAACACAAGCAGCTAGGTGAGGAGGAGAATTGCGGAGCGGCAATTACGGGGGAGAGGGGAGGGACGCGGCCTCGCTGAGGGAGTGTGACCGAGGGGAAATAATGGATTTCTAGGGCCCGTCGTCTCTTCGCACCTGATACAGTACACCAGCTCTGGCGAGAAATGGATCAAACAGATAAGAAATGCTTTTTGGAATCACATCAGCAGAAGCAAAGTTCCCAGTCTGCTGATTAGAGTTCAGCAAGGATGGGTGAGGGGAATGAGCTCAGTTTACAGGCTTTTTTTTCTTGAGGAATATGGCTTGAGACGGCATTGCTGTTGTTGAGTTTACTCAGCTCGAAAAGTAGAAAAATACGTCAAACCTTGAAGCCTTAGTCACAGAAACGGTTTTCTGTTTTCAAATTAAAATGAATTTTCCGATAAAAGCCTGTGCCCGCTGAACCCCCCCAACCATCCCTGTTAAAGTATCCTCATGCATGCTCTCTGTGCTGAGCAGCGGTAACCAAGTGGCGTACATTCCAGTCTGTTAAAGGATAAAGGATAAAACCCTGAGGAAGGTGAGGACGGCGCTGCCGTCACACCACCGTCTCCTGATCCTTCAATCGCTCCACCTCCTCACCCTCCTCCTCCACTTGCTCCTTTTTCTTCTTCTTCTCCCGCCTGCGGCAGAAGCCGTTCAGACCGCAGAAGCAGGCGCAAGTGAAGGGCATGGCCTATCGACGCCGCACCGCCTCCACGTAGACCTGCGGAAGGGAGAGGGAGGAGAAGAGAGGAGGGGAGGCATTAGGACGGTACCTCCATCATCTGGAAAATCTCACACACCGCTTGTGAGCTCACGAGTCTTTTGAACATAAACGGATATCTGGAATTAAGGCAGGATGAGGATATTGAAGCAAAGTTTCAAAAAAGAGTCACAATGGTGGCTCCGATCCCAGAAAATGTCAGGGATGAAAACGTAAATTGTGTGCATCTTTGTATAATTCTTTTGTAACCGACCGAGTTCCCAATGCTACTTCCTGAAATGTGTTTTACTATAAATTACCATATCAGGTTTTATTTTAATGATTGTTACGGATAATATAATTTATGTTATAGTCGTCAGTTTTAATCATAGATTATAGTCTATATAAGACGTGGATGTAGTCACCATGACGTCACCCATTGGTTTGTGGACTACAGTTTTGAAGCTTTTGGCAGCTGTCATCTTGGTTTTTGGCTGATGCCATATTTTTTTTCTTTTTTGCAACCAGAAGAGACTCGAGAGGGTGGAGCTAAATGCAACCGAACACTGAATCATTTTTAGGTGTCGAAAATGTTCCAATTAACTTTAGTGAATTGAAAAAAATACTGTGAAAGGGTTAAAGTTCTAAGGCAAAAACACAGACAACTCCCAGACCGGACAACGCCGTGGTTGAGACCTCTCAATCCCATGATAGTCCGGAAGCATACCCTGCTTTATAATCTTTTTGACTATGAAAGGGATACTAATTTATGAAATGAACATCGTGTTCTGTCGAATGATGACTTGAAACTAGCGATTGAGACCATGACCTCATGTTTACAATGTTTACTGAGGAAATAAATCAAGTGGCAATTAGGGTCATTTCCCCAGACTTCAATACAACCAAACATCTTTTTGCTGCCTGGTTTTAATTAGTTTAACTTTCCGAAAAGTCACAATTATTCCACCACTTTGGTTTGGTAGGATGGCTCTAAATGTTCCGATATCCATGAGCCTTAGCCACCATTGCTATGGAGAAGAAGTGGAAAATTGATTGGAAAATTCCGCACTTCATGATTTAAGATGTGGCGTACGTTTGTAGCATGTTTCATGCAAAAGGGCAGTTGTGTTTGTGAGAAACGTAAAATGCAGACATTTATTTCTGGTGACCATGTGGTTAATGTTGTCAGGATCCCTGTCAGACCAGACACCTCCCATGGCCACACAGCTGCAGCCACTCCAGCCGATTACCTCCTGCAGGCTGACACACCAGACTCAGGTCCCACTAACGCTTCCCCTGGCACTATATAAACTCTGGTCCTGCAGTCTGGGGTTGTCAGGTCGTACCGTCTTTCACCCGCTTCAACCCCGTTGCAGCTTCTGCCTCAAGCTGCAATGGGTGTCCGTCGGTCCGGGAATCCCCCGTGCCCTCCTTTGTGTTTACGGACTACACACCGCTGCTCTGCCCTCCGTGGTGTTAACGGACTACACACCGCTGCTCTGCCCTCCGTGGTGTTAACGGACTACACACCGCTCCTCTGCCCTCCGTGGTGTTAACGGACTACACACTGTCGCTCTGCCCTCTGTTGTGTTAATGGACTACACACGTCGTCAAGCTGCCTGCTCTCCGGTGTCGAGCCACGGGACATCACGCCGTCAAGCTATGGGACTCACACCGTTGATCTGCCTACTCTCTGGTGTCGGACCACGGGCTCCACACCTTCCTGTCTTCCTTACTCTGGCTAAATAAAGTCTGTTTCACCGTACTCTGTCTCCTGTGGTCTTGCTATTGGGTCCTAACCGTGAACTCCCGTGACAAATGTAGCAGAATTGTCCAATATCTACATTCTTGTCAGCGACAGGGTTGAGCAACAAAACACTGCTAATCTAAATCTTTACCTTTCCTTAGTACAATAGAATTTTAGGCTCACTGACTTTATTGTTATGAAAATGTTTCTCACTTTTTTATATGGGCTTGTACCTTTGACTTTTTATCAAAGTTTCAAGTTATTATTCTAGTTAATAAACACGTTTACTTCTGGATGCCTAGACATTTAAAATGACTCCTCCCACAATGGAACTCTACAGGTGACGTAATTTCTAATCCAAAACGTGACTGAAAGTCAAATTAGCCACTGTGTAAACACATCCCGGAGGTGGCAGAGCGAGATCAAAGCATTGATTCTAACAGCGTTGGCGTCACGGTCCACCCCTCATGGCTACATGGTCAGGAACATACACTCGGTCAGCCCTTCGTAGCTAAATGGTCAGGAACGTACCCTCGGTCGACGTCTCATGGCTACATGGTCAGGAACGTACCCTCGGTCGACCCCTAATAGCTACATGGTCAGGAACGTCACCCTCGGTCGACGTCTCATGGCTACACGGTCAGGAACGTACCCTCGGTCGACCACTGATGGCTAAATGGTCAGGAACATACCCTCACACTCACAGCCACATAGCTTCTAATCTTAATTAATTGAGATTTACCATCATTCATATCAACTGCAGGCCTACAGCTGGAAAACTGTTGTAATCCACAAAATGTATAGCGGACAGCTGTCGATAATAAAGCTGTGTGTGTCTTTGACTTTTTTGCAGAGCTCTCAGCTAAAAAAAAAAATCTGCAGAGAATGTTACTGCGGTCCAGTCGATAGGTCGGTCAACACACACTGCACACTCGCACATACACTGCGGTAAAGACTGGCCTGGTGGTCTATTAAGCGCTGTCACTCATGGAGGGGGGTGGGAGCACTGTCATTACTCTTCTTCTCCCCTTTTTCTTCTCATTGCGCTTCAACTACTCTCTTTCTTTTTCTCCCGCTCACACACACACACACACACACACAGCCAGAAGTCTTAAGGCTCACCAAACTCCAAACGTTAACACTTTTTTCCACTGTGGCGCGCTTGCAGCCAATTGTGAATGAGCACCGAGATTAGGAGACGCGAGGTGAAACTGAGAGCTTCATTAAATACCAACCTGAGTCAGCAGCACCAGCAGGTCTGACTGAGAAGTGTGTACCATGTGTGTGTGTGTGTGTTTGTAAAGCAAGTGGGAGAGTGGGTGACAAAAAGCACAGACCAAACATAAAGTGTGTGTGTGTGTGTGTGCATGGCTTTAGGGATTGATGTGAGCTTCAACCTGTCTCATATGGGGGCAATTAACTGAGCAAGACTCCAGGCTGCCTGCAAGCGGAGAGAAAAACGCCTCGGGCCATGCCTGTGTGTGTGTGTGTGTGTGTGTGTGTACATATATATATATATTAAACCTCCATGCGCTCTTCTCTAATCCCTCCTCTGTCATTTCGGATATCCATCTAATCCCAGTCTGCAGATCTCCCACTCTGTACCCAATGGCTTTAGACCCTATGTGACATGCCAGAGAAAATCACATAGGAATAGAAAGCCATAAAACACAGCAGCGAGCCAGTCACGCCGACTGCAGGAGCAAACATTTTCCAGGTGTGTGCGTTCCTCTCGCTCCGCGCCTTTAACACCCTCAGCTTGTCTGACAGTTGAACAAGGACCCGCAGAGGACCTACAACAGTGCTGAAGACACTCCTCCAATCCCTCCGTTCCCTCCTCACTCTCGCCCCGCTTTGTCCCTTTCTTCCTTCCTTTCTTTCCCTCGCTCTTCATCCCAGAGAGTCAGTGGCATCTTGTTTTGGTGGGTGCGTAATTACTAGTGGTTCTCTCACAGGCGAGCGCAGAGATGAGACGGATAAAAAACAGCCTGCAGACCCCCTCTGAATTATTAACTGGCAAAAAATACAACCAAAAAAACGAATGAGTCAACGTTAACGGAGAGGGCGAGGGCGGCGAAGCAGCCCACGTGCGTCCTCAAATAAACACATAAATGAAAAGAAGGTCCGAGTGCAGCGTGGCACCGTGCATAAATGAGCCGTCCGTGGTGGGATCCAAACTCAGGGTTAGACCGATATTTTTTGGTTTTGGTCATGTTGGCCAAGAGAAAAAAGCGATGAATGCAATGAATTTGAATTATTTAACACTTTGATACAATTTTAACTTGTAAATGATTAATTTCAAGGTTGTGATATTCCCCACTGATTCATTGTTTGGCTTCTTTTGTTCCATCAAGCTGTAAACCCTGTAATTAATGCATTATCATGACCCATATTGGATTTTGAGACTTTACATTTTTCTTAGATAAACACAAATAGTTCCAAACTATTTCCATTTGAAAAAAAAAAATTAATAGATAAAAGTTTACGTTATGAAAATAAAAAAAGCGACTTGCATTATTGTCTATTAAAAAGAAATATAGCATCCTTGACTCGTGAACCCAAGGGTAAGAACCGTATCACATTGTGCAACTATTTACCAACATATGCAAAAGGTTTTACAAAAAATCAATTTCTTTGTATTTAGAAAAAATACTTCTTCCTGTAAAACAAAAGATGACGTGTGCTTGCGTAAGCTAGTACCAGCCGACTTTAACTAATAACATCATGACGTCTATCAATCAATCTATTTGCAACTTTTAGCAACAAGAAAGGTGTTTGTGCAGCATGGATGTATAAAGAGAACTGATCCACATAGTTGGAGGCTGCACCCCGTTCCTCCCTATGAAAGCTGCTCAGTGGCGCACAAAGCAAAAAAATAAGTTGACTTCCGAGTAGAAAGTTACCCGGATCTTACAGCGACCTTCTGCAACCATGTGCCCATTGGGCAGGAGCAGTAGCAGGTTTTTTTTTAACCCCGCCTCCCACCCCTCAGTCCACTTTATTTATGGACATCTCCTTCACAATGCAAGTCTTTGAGGATAAGTATTTTTGGGCCTAACTTCCAGCAAGCTAGCTGTTTCCCCCTGGTGTAAGTCTTTGAGCTAAGCTACGCTAAACTGGCCGCTGGCTGAAGCTTCATATTTTCCACACAGAGTGGTATCAACCTTTTAGTCTAATTCTCAGAAAGAAAGAAATCCCTTCCCAAAAAGTCCAACTACTCCGTTAAGATCATAGGCAAAACACACACCTTCGAGATTACTCATAACCGAACGTT